GGCTTTTTTATATTAATTATATAATTTTCATGTATCATATCAAGATATGTGTTTTATCTATGTATGTTTAGGTTTCAATTTCCATCAATATAGGAAAAGAAAGAACATAATTGGCTGATTTTAGTCTCATAAAACCGACCTAAAACCGAATAAACTGGTATTTGCTTTATTTCCTAGTAATTAAACATTATTTTTAATTAGTTTTATTTTTTGTTCTCTTTTTAGTTTATTATATAATGTGTTGTTATATATATATATATACACATTATATTATAGGGTTGTTTATTTTATTTTATTGATAGATTATTCAACTTTTAGGTTATTCATTTAGACAACAACGAAATCAACTCATTTGCTTGAGATGAACTAATAAATTATTTATTTAAATGAAAAAGTTTATTTTTAGAGCTGAGTCAATAATTTATGTAACTTGTTAGATGACAAGACAAACTTGCATCTTCAAATTGTAAAATGACGTCGTATGACACTTTTTAATTATTCAATAATCAGTTTTTAACCGTTCAGTTTAATAAGTTGTTTATTTAAATTTAGTATTTACAATTCAACCCAAATAATTAACTATAAGTCTGTTTTTTTTTTTTTTTTTACTTAATCACGAATAAGCTAGTCATGCTGAAACTGCCATAGATGACAAAAGATATTCTTTATAGCCTAATCTCAAAAATTAAATTTCCATTACTCAGACAATTTATTGTTTTTCTTTTTTTTTTTTAGTTTCTTTTTCATGCTTGAAAGTTGAAACCATTGTTTGAAGTATAATAATACTAATAATGCTAATTAAGAGTTAAGACAATAAATATACAAATAAAACAGAAGAAAATCAATAATCAATGTTAGATTAGATTTTTTTTTTATCAAGAATTCTTCTCTTTTATCATTTTTGCGCAATAGCTGGTGTCTGAAGCACACTGACCCGACTAATTTGGATTTGTGCTAGATAGGACTAGAACTCGAGACTTCTAATTAAGAGATAAGGGATCTCTGTCATCTCATTTCACCCATCGGGGATAAGAAACATTATTATTAATCCAACTTGTTTTCTGTTTTTTTTTTTTTTTTTTTTGTTTTCTGTTTTTTTTTTTTTTTTTTTTTTTTTTTTTTTTTTTTTTTTTTTCTTTCCATTTTCATTTGACTAGAGTTGTGGATATGAAAGATGCTACGTATGTGGTTAACTTAGTACAAGAGTTTGATTATGCAGTGTTCAACTTGCATATTATTTCCAAGATTATTGGTGGATTAATTTTTAATGACAATTAACCATATAAACATATATATATATTTATATTACATCTTGACTTTTTAAAAGATTTTAGTTTAGTAAAATACAATTAGTCATTAATTAAATGTAAGTGTACCCTATTAATGTACAAATGATTTTTCAAAAGATTGCACGTATCTTAATTTAATTATATTGATAAAAATTGGAGATTTTTGAACAACATCTAATCAATCTTAGACAAAACCCATCAAACCAAATCTTTGAAACTATGTATTTTATTATATAACGAACCAAAAAGGTACCGTTTTCCTTGGAGCTTTAATTCAACTTCTTGTACTTCCTTTCCTTAGGTTTCCAGCTACTTGATTTTATATATTATATTATTATTATTATTTACAGCTTGATTTATTCACAACTTGCCTCTCAAAATTATTTATATGCAAGTTCTACTAAAGAAATAAACTCTATAAATTTAAAAAATATAAAATTTTATAAAATGGGTTTTTCAAATAAGTTTCTAGGTACATTGGATATATATAAAATGCCAACTGCCAAGAAAATGGGACTCTATATTTCTTTAATTTATATATCGGTAGTTTCTTGGTGAGGGCATTCATCATTGACCTCATAAATTTTGCAACTTCACCTCTTGCAGCGGTAGAAAGTCAATTTGGCTAGAACTAGATTTGCTTTCTTTCCGCCCGTCGTATTCTATAAAACCACTTTCTAGGGACAAATAAATAAATAAAAATGCCAAGGATTTTAAAAAGAAAGAAATTTTGTAATTTGAATTGTTCGACATATGTAATTTTACAAGCTCGAGATTTAATAAATTATTGAACTTTTCTTATAAGATAATATATCAATTTATATATTTCTACTAAAATAAATTAAGATTCAATTGTTGTTATGAGTGATAATGATCAACAATTAACAACATTGTAAACTAATAATTGAGAAGCCTAATGATTGAACTCACAATTAGAAATTCCAGCTTTCATATATTCTAATTATAATTTAAAAATCTCTAATTAATAATTTTTTGAAATTATTCTTAAAAAATGATATGAATTATAAACTAGATTACATTATTCTTTTGCATAAGTTCTTATATTAATATCCAAGGAGAAAATATTAACTATAAATTACAGTATTTTATTCCTTGATTAAACACAAGAAAAGAAATATATAATTTTTTTTTTAAACCAAGAGGCTTATGGAGGGTAAATTCGAAATTGTAATTAGTTATAGGAAGGAATTAAAAAATAGATTATGCAATTATAAACTAAGATTAGAAATGCCTTTCTTACACGCAAGAAAATAAAAATGAATCATTTATTATTATTATTATTATTAAAATATGTTTGTTTTGAGGAAATTAAGTAGACAAGCTAGTTGTTTAGTATATAATGAAGGCACACTTTGGTGTTTAAAGTCAGATGACATTTCATTTTCGCAAGTAATTAATTAAGATATATTCAAAGTTGAAAGGCACACTAAAATTCCCCTAATCATAATTAATTATGAATTATCTCCTAATCCCAAAAAGATGTGGTTTAAGTATACCAAATTTAGAGGATTAATCACTTATCATTCCACAAATATGATTGTAACATTTGAGTTAATGCATAATTAATCCCTATAGTTTGATAGTAGAAAACAAAATCTGTTAACAAACTACTTAACAGCTAATTAAGCTATTATTTTCACAAAAAAAAAAAAAAAAAAAAAATAGCTAATGGTCATCGTTTCACACCACAATAAAGACAAATTACATTACCAAACTAATTTAAACAAAAAAAAAAAAAAAAAAAAAACTAATTAAGCTATTAATAGCAATTCGGTTTCGACACGTATGTTCATGTTTAATACTACAGTGACATTAAAATAAAATCTTGTAGATAGTGACACTTCCAAATTTCAAACCTACCTTATGAACAAGATTCATCTGAATGTTGACGAAGCTATGGTGCCCCCTCCTCCTCCCTCCACTAAAATTTCTTTCAATGAATCACTCATAAAATGTTGAAATTTTTTTTATTTTACCTTCTAAAAATAGTAAACTTTTTTCAATTTCACCCCTCTTAATTCATGAAATCTTTTTAGCCCCTAATTTTAATTTCTGGCTCTGACATTACATCTAAGGATGAAGTCTATTTTGGCTGAACATAATTAAATTTTATTGATTATACTTGTTTATAAATTGTGGGTAGTAGTCATATTTATTACTCATGAATCAGACAAATGCACGAGGACAATATTTGAAGATTTATATATATACAGTAAAGTTGTTTTCTGTTTTTTTTTTTTTTTATAAATTACCAGACAAATCATATCCATGTCTAACATTTTAGTGAACATTAATAATTGGAAATTGCATTATTTGGTTTCGTGCTTGTGAATAGGAAAGAGTTCTTGAGAGCAGAGCATTGCGTTGTGGGTTGTGGTTTTGTACACAGAATAATAAATACTATTCACTGCCTTGGTTTGAAGGGAATTAGGGTAAAGACATGGCCTCTGCTTCATATGTGTCTCCTTGTGAAGGAGAAAATAAACCTTGTCAATCACATTTTTATAACGGTAAACACAAAAAGACCTGCTCATGAGTTGAGTCATCATACTTTAATTTATGAAAAAAAATTATAAGTTTTGATCCAGTGTCTTCACAACCATTTTCAGTACGGAATTATTTTGTTTTAAAAATTTAGGGTTTGTTATTATAAATATTTTTATAATTTACTATGTTAAAAAAATTATTTGTCTAGAGTTTAGACTTGATCTATGAGCCTATTCATAAATCAAATTAATTATCAAAGCACTTCTTTTATTGGAAATAAGAATATTGTATCAATTCATTATAAAAAAATAAAAATAAAAAATGAATAGTTTTAGAAAATGGTGGGTTTGGTTCATCAATGGATCCATAGTCTAATTCTAAAAAAAAAAAAAAAAAAAAAAAAAAAAAAAAAAAAAAAAAAAAAAAAAAAAAAAAAAAAAAAAAAAAAAAAAAAAAAAAAAATTTAACTCTTAGTGTGTGGGCCAATCCTTGCACCAAAAATATGTAAATAATTTGATTTATAGAAGGAGTTATTGGGGTGGGACTTAGTTTGATCTAAAATTTGAAATTCAAAGTAATCCAATCTTGTCTCTTTTTAAAGTAGGGTTTTAGATTAGCCCATTACCAAAATCTAGTGGGACTAGGGCCCCCAACTTATTCGATATTGTTGGATTTAAAGAGCCCAAAGTAATAGAGATTTCCTTTCTTCAGTTTTTCTTTCTTTTTTTTAATCCAGTTTTTTTTTTTTTTTTTAATCAAGCTTTAAGTTCATTTATAATTCGACCCTTATTATTTAAAATTAAGAATTTTCTACTCTTAGATAATCATTTTCTAAAATATGTGATTCTATAACGTAACGATTAAAAAATAAAAAAATTAATATATGAAATTTTAAGGTTTATAATGCATTGTATTTAAATTGTCTTAACGACTATAAATAAGTGACTATGAAGCATGCAAGGTGAAGATATATTTTATATCCTACTTTATATAGGAAATAATTTTTTCTAGTTAATTTTTTAAGAAGTAGGTTGATTTAAACCGATCCAGTTCTGAAACAACAAAGTTGGGTCGACTAGCCCAAAATAGAATTATTGGGCCGTTGAAGAATAGACACAAGTTTTGATTTTGAAGAGAAAAAGGTAAAAAGCCCAAAATCAAAATGCTGAAGCTAAACGCTGATCAAAGTTGACTACTTCACATGTGGTGGCTGTTGAACTTGTGTGGTCCAAAACAATTGACTTTTCCCTCTGCGTGATTCTGGAGAAAAGATTGGACTCTGCAGCCGAAAAATATAAGCAGCGCACGAAAAAGGCCCGCTTTCCGGCTTTCGTGTTCTGCAAGAGCCGAATCATCAGGAGACAACGGCCATTTCTTAAATAAAAAAAGAAAAATAAAAATAAAACGCACATGTCTGCGTTATATTCCTCAAATGCTACCGCATCTTCTCCTTTTTTAAATCCTCCTTCTTTTGTCTCCTCCTCCGCCATTAACATTTCTAGATTCTCAAAACCTCATTTCCTGCTTTGTCCACCGTCTTTTTCACCGATTCGCCATCGCCGTCCTTTAGTTCTTTGCTTCTCTTCTCTCTCCGGTACAAATCATCCTCCTCTCTCTCTCTCACACTTTTTTTTTTTTTTTTTTTTTTTCTTTTTTTTTTTTTTTTTTTTTTTTTTTTTTTGCTTTTAGATCAGATTGATTTGCGTCTGTATTATTATTTTTTTAATCACTAACTAGCATTATGGAATATGTAGATATGGATGGCACGCCTGGTCAGAGTCTGTACCCGTTGCACCGTACTAAAACTATTCATCTGGTTTGTGTTGCCAATCTTGAACCTTTTTATATTATATTATTTTACATAATTGCATTTTTTTAAAAAAATAAAAAAGTTGATAAAATAAGAATGGTTACAGGTTAGGCATGCACAGGGGATTCACAATGTTGCAGGAGACAAAGACTATAGCGCTTATTTATCTGAAGAACTTTTTGATGCTCACCTTACTCCACTTGGATGGGAACAGGTTTTTATTTTATTGGCTTCTGATTTGGCTTTTTTTTATTAATATTTATCTATTGTAGAGAAACAGTTGGCTAGCTTTTTTTTCCCCCTCTTTTAGGCTCACTTTTAAGTATATTTTCATATTTTTAACAAGAAAAAGAACATCTCTTTTATATGTTTGAAAGAACTTTGCTTTTATTATTATTATTTTAGATTATTCCAGGATTGGTCTCATGTATAAAAATTGGGTCTTTTGAGTTTTAATCTAAAGAACATTCCTTTTATATGTTTTGTTTGAAATAACTTTCTTTTATTATTATTATTTTAGATTATGTCAGTGTCAGGGATTGCTGTCATATATAAAAATTTGGGTCTTTCAAGTTACTTGTTGTACTTGTATAAATAGTGTTGTGCTTATGTATTAGAAATAATCTCCGTTTTCTTTGGATGGAAAAACATTTCAGGTTGATAATCTGCACAACCATGTTAAAAAATGTGGGCTGAATAAGAGAATCGAATTGGTTATCGTTTCCCCTTTGTTAAGGTATTGGCTTTCTGTAACAATATTTTTGCTATTGCTATAATGATGCTTTTTCAGTGAATGAATGCATATCTTTTAAATTTAACTTCAATGACTATTTAATGACATAGTCATTTGTTGACTTTCTGTAACAAGATTTTTGCTATTGCTATAATGATGCTTTTTCAGTGAATGAATGCATATCTTTGAAATTTAATTTCAATGACTATTTAATGACATAGTCGTTTGCATGAATGCAAATGCCATAATGAATAGTAGTGTAAAGGCTGCCATAATCCCAATTTACCATAACTTTTCAGTTTTTCTCAAGCAGCATACTTAGATTAATTCTCATGAAAGTACTGAAACTTATGATAAAAATGGGACTGGATAACGCGGCTAAAGAGACATCTCCAAATCCAAATATAATTTTTCATATTGCTCTGGGCTTTTACATGCTAGTTTCATTGAAAGTTCTAATCTGGATTAATGCATTCACCAATTGATATGGAGTAAAAGTGAGATCATCTATATGGGTTGGTTTAAGAATCTGGTGCCATCACTGTTTGAATTCTGAACAATAGCAATACCTCTGAAGTCTGAAGAATATTTGTGCAACATGTCGTTCAAGAACTCGAATTAATATTGTGAAGTGGAAACGCACAGGGTAACATGCTGAAATTGTATTTTAGCTTTTTGAAGAAAATTTCCTCAAGCATTTTATTCTCAAAAAATGATGAGCTGTCTTGCATTCATGCTAACCTCCTCTAAAGTATTAGAAGTTAATTAATAAGGGTTTTGTATGTTTAATGAATGTCTGTTTGCTGAAACATCAAGTTAGGATCTGTGGTTGGATTTCTATTTAAGGGTTTTGTATGTTTAATGAATGTCTGTTTGCTGAAACATCAAGTTAGGATCTGTGGTTGGATTTCTATTAACAGAAAACATTATGTTTTTCCTACTAAGGGAAACTGGTGACTAAATAATTATCTTTGCACTGTAGGACCATGCAAACAGCAGTTGGAGTTTTTGGTGGTGGGTATACTGACGGCATTGAGGCTCCTCCATTGATGATGGCAAATGCGGGGAAAAGTGATCGTCTGGCAATTTCAAGCATAAATTGCCCTCCGTTTGTAGCAGTTGAGCTTTGTCGAGAACATTTGGTATTTCTTCATTAACCTGTACTGTTTTTTTCAATGCTATCTTAATGAGTTGGAGGAATTTTATAAATACATTTGTAAAATCTCCACTGTACTTCGTACATATACATGCATCAGATTTGCAGAATGAATGAATGCATCCTGTATCCAACAGTTCCTACACAGCAAAACACTATTGTTGTTGCAGGTAATTTTGTTTTGATTTTTTGTCTTTTCAAACTACAGGGTGTTCATCCATGTGACAGAAGAAGAAGCATCACTGAGTATAGACCTCTTTTTCCTGCAATTGATTTTTCCCTGGCAAGTACTCTGCATTCCCTGCTGGGTCTCTCACATGAATTTCTTTAATCCTGTGCCATTATCGTTGGTTTTAGTCTTCAATTCAATTAGTTGAATGGAAACAGTTTGTTTGATTTTTGCATAGATTGACAGTGATGCTGACATTTTGTGGACGGCTGATGTCAGAGAGGAGAATGAAGAAGTTGCAGCCAGAGGGCAAAAGTTTTTGAACTGGTGACAACTTATTTCTATTTGTTCTAAACTTGTAATTATTTTCACAAACCTAATGATCGAAGATTAATAAGCCAGAATGGAATATTTATAACTCTGAAAGCAGCTGAATTGGAGCATTTTGAAATGTTAGATTAAGATAAAAAAAAAAAAAAATGATGTTATGGAGTTGTACACTCTGTTCTATACATTATTAAACAGTTCTTAACAGTCTGTTCCCTCGCGTTCACAGTTTCTTGCAATTTGTGTGCACCTGGACGTGCAATTAACTCTGTTAAATTCAATTATTTGTTTCAAATAGCTTTTAAAATAGCCATGCACTCACATTATTTATCTACCTCGTCAGCTTGTTCTGTTCTTTACTATAATAAGTAACTCTTTCTTCTGTTAACTGCTAAGAAAGAGAATTGTAGCAGTTTCTTTGAGTGGGATGTAAAGTTCCCTTTAATTTTGTATGAACAGCAAAAACATGTGTGCTGTTTCTGTTTATTCCACATTTTTTCTCATTTCCTAAGATGATTTCCAATGTAAAACTGCATCATAGGTGAGTGGCTTTTGGCCGATGTTGCTTTAGATTAGTATTGATTATGTTTATTCCAATCCTTATATGACTTCGTCAGGTTGTGGACTCGGAAAGAAAACGAGATTGCAGTTGTTACGCACAGTGGATTCCTATATCATACATTAAGTGCTTTTGGAAGTGATTGCCATCCATCTGTGAAGAGTGAAATATGCACGCAGTAAGTGCTATGTTTATGGCATGAACAACTTCACATTTTGCGTGGTACCAAAATAGAAATGAGCTTAAGGAAGTTGTCAAGCTTTTTGCTGTTGCATAGAAGACTTTGAATTCATGTTTTTTCTGTTTCTTTGCTAATCTGACGAACCCTTAAATGTATATGCAGCTTTAAAAATTGTGAGCTCCGATCGGTGGTTATTGTTGATAGAGGGTAAGCAAGCTTTCTGAAAAGCTAGAAACAAAACCTTATCTTTTAGGCTCACCAAAAAACTCATGTTTTCTCTTTACTCTGCAGAATGGTGGGGTCAGATTCTGCAACAACTAATTATCCTGGAAAAGTCCCTCATGGCCTTGATCTTCCTAGTGATGTTGCAGCAGAGAAGCATCCAGAGGCCGGGAGTGTCTGAACAATCATTTATTCCATTGAATTCAATACGAAAAGGTTTGCATTTCTCCATCAAATGATTACTCAAAAAAAAAAAACAAAAAAAAAAAAAAAAAAACAAATGATTCTCAAAAAAAAAAAAAAAACCAAAAAAAAAAAAAAAAAATTATTGAGAGAGTTACTTCAATAAAAAAAAAAAAAAAAAAAAAAAAAAAAAAATTATTGAGAGAGTTACTTCAATACCCCACAGAAGAACTAGGTCGTGAATTCACTAGTTCAGTTGAGTTCAGTTAGGACAACACATTATTCCTTAAAAGGAGATTGATAGGCACTGATTTTTTCTAGACTCAGTTCAGCATTTGTGTTGGCTTGGACCAAATTTTATTTTGTATTACCATATACGTAAACAAGTATGTGGAAGTTGCGTATTGTTTCAAGTTTACATCTTTAATGTTTTGTTATGATGTACTGTTAACATTGCAAAATTCTACTTTCAGACATTCAAACGTTAGAAATTTTGAATAATTCATAGATTTTATCCTATTTTTGTTGTGACGAACAAGAAATTTGAATCAAATCTTTTGTATAATAAAAATGAATAAAATCTATGAATTGTTAAAAATATCTGAAGCCGAACATACTCTTGATATAAAATAACCACCACTGATTCTTTCTATGTCTTGTCTAACCAGTCTTTGTTCTTTGACTTGCGATGCCTGATGAAACAAGCAAATATTTACACGGAAATCATTAAACTGACTCTTAGCAAATTGCAAGTCACCACTGTCGTGAATGGTATCATAAAAAATAATATTTCAATTCAAAAAAATAAAAAATTATTCATAATTTTCTCAATTAAAAAATAAAATGTTGTAAAATATAACAGATTTTTTATTTCAAAATTTTTTAATAAATGTTATCTATTTATAATAATTATCAACTTTTTATCATTTCGTAAATTTTTTAAAATCGAGTGTTATCGGTATAAATTTATTTTTTATAATATAAAATTAAAAAAGAAAACTATTTAAATATTTTTTATGGTTATTCGATAAAAATACTTTATCTTTTAGAAAAAGTTATATATTATAAATTTAAATTATGAGAAGTCATTTTTTTAAACAGAAAAAAAATAAAAAAACATGGCTCTTATTAATTTCAGAAAAGTGTTCTAATGGGGATGAACCATGAACGGTTCGATCCATTTTTTTGGATTTTGCTGTACAAACTGCACCGCTCTGTCAGTTTTCCCTCATATATCATTTTCCCTCATATATATATATATATATATATCTATATATATATATTATATATATATATATACACACACTGTGTATACAGATTCGAGAATTGCGAGCTTCGTTCTTTGCTCATGGTGGATAAAGAGTAAGCACGAAGATAAGACATCTTAATGAGGTCTCCGTTCTAACTGCTCTTAAGTTTGCATATAGATGTTGTATTTACTGCAAAAATTACATTTCTGAGTCTGCCAATATCGCTATCACTGTGTCATATTTTCATATCCCTGTTTATGAAAATCTGGTTCTCACCCTGCAGGTGTAACTGTTAAGTTCCCACATAAATTTTATTTGAATGAAAATAGTGCTAGTACATATTATTTCTCATCTTCATATAATGAACGCAATGTGGCAAGAAAAGGATTGGAAATTTTGGCAAACGCATATTCTGTTTTTATCCATCATACAAAATGATAAAAGTATATTTGTTCTACTTTGCCACGACAGAAAACAAGCTCAGTCCAAATAACTACTAAATAAGCAATAATGCAGTAGAGTTGATAAATATAAACTCAATGACCTTACATTGAAAGATTATTTAATAAACACCCCACACCGGCGCCGCCCCCCCCACCACCCCTCAAAAAAAAAAAAAAAAAAAAAAAACACTTATCCCATGCCATAATGCAAAAATTCCCACTCAAGCGACTAATATCACCTAACAAAAAAAAAAAAAAAAAAAAAAAAAGCACTTATCCCATGCATATATGCCAAAAATTCACTCAAGCGACTATGATCACCTAACGAAGGAAAAGAAAAATGCACTTAAACCATGTGATTCTGTAAGTGTAAACTCAACTCTGGGCCTACGATTTCTTGACAAGCATAAATCCCACCAATATAGAAAGGATAAGGAAGAAAACTGCAGCGAAAATGTACAAGTTCATTGACGTGATAGATTCCTTGCTACTAACCACACTTGTGTCAACTTTTCTGTTTTTCTCTGAAGAGCTAGGTACAGTATGGCCTGGGGCTGCAACATCCCAAAAAGATTCAGGTACCAGCAATGGAGCTTCTGCTTCTGGTTGGAGAATTACTGAGGCATCAGTTGGTGACATGGACATCAACTCAACACAATGATCTTTTACGACCTAGTAACCATGAAGAGAACTCTACTCAAAACATTAAAATAATGAATTCTTCACACAAATGCAGCCCAAGATCCTAGATATGCCTAAAAAAAAATTAACATTTTCCTCAACAATCCACAAGTACAAAACCTCAAGTGCCTCAGATGGTTGCAAGTAGTCACATATTAATGTACCAGCCAACCAGGGAATAAATACTCTTCGAGGAAATTCCAGACTGCAAGTTTTCCTGTTGTGAAGGGTACAATAGCAAAAATTTTGAGTGCAAGACATTATACTCTGCAAGAAAAACTATTTCAATTTCAAAGTTGCAGTTCATAAAAGAAAGTGGAAACCCACTGGTTCTGATAAATAAGCAAGCTAAAGATGCAGCAAGAATAGAGTTCTAACAAAGAGAGGAAGATAACATGAATGGACAAGCTTTGTCTATAATGCAAGTAACACATTGAAATCCAGTTATCACTGAGCTGTTTTTCAATTCAACAGTTGAGTTAGATAAGCTTGCACAGGTAAAGAATATCTTACGCAAAATGCATGGAACCAACAATTTTTTAATATTACCGATCACTTGGAGAATAAACAGAAAAAAGGGAAAGACAAAAAATGAATGCCAATAATATTGACATTGACACCTAACACTACAAACCTATATCTGACACACCTCAGTAGGAATGGGACAAGTCTGGAAACAGGTTTTTCAGGCAGTTTTTCTTGGCTTGCTTCCTTACCACCATCATGCACTGGACCCAGATCTTCATCTGCCTCATCACAGATGAGATCCAGTCTGCTTTCTAGACTCCTGATGATATCGTCCTGAAAATAGAATAGGAAAAATCTATGATAGTACAAGAAAAGAGCAACAATGAATGGGGCTAACAGGGAACTTGTATAATTTGCCAGTCATTGCAGAAAACGCTCAAATCCAATTATTTGCTTACAAAATTTACAACCTCCTTTCTCCTTGAACATTAAATTCAACTCTAAAATGGTTCAACTTTTTATGCTTGTTTCTTGCTGCCATTGTAGTTTGAGAATTTGTTGGCAGCATATGCCAATTGCTTCCAAGTGAACTATACTAACTTGAAACAATTCACAAAGTTCATCAAATCAATATTGAATCGTTTCACTTTTACCAAGATAGATAGATCTTAACAGACACTATTCCGCTACCAGGCAGGCAGGCAGCACAATTTATGCAAAACTGAGGTACACCTACAAGGAGCCTTCCACCTATGGGCTAAAAATGCACGTGAAAATTTTGGGGAGATAAAAGATTTCAAGAATGTATATTTACATTGAATTATGCCAACATACTGCAGTTTCACTAGTAAGGATTTCAGAATGAAGTTGTGACAGACAGTTGACCGAATCTCATATGAAATACTTCTGTACAAGCATTTTAATACCTTTATATCAGCAAGAGCCTGTGAAACTGGTTCCTTTGAATTCAAGTATGCAAAAGAGCACACAGAACCACTGAACACAAGAAGACCAAGAACGTCCCTTTGGCTGTATGCTTCATGAAATTAAAACAAATTATTAAATGTTTGAAACTGTAATTCAAAGCCACTTAAAAAAAACACTGAGAATAATCTTGTCAAATGTTTAAGAAGTGCCAACACACCTTCAGCCTGTGCATGCTTCATATATGGTAGAAGCAATTCAACTTCATGCAAACCCTCAGTCACACAAGGTTCTTCATTAACAACCTAGAACCACATAGTCTAAACAAATAACTCTTCAAAAAAAGAAACATCATAAACAATATGCTTATCAACATTCTGTTCTGAAAGGAAAAGTAAGAGTTCATAAAAATTGTCTGCTCCAACCAAAAACAGCTAAATCTACTGTAAACACTGGTATTGGAATATGTCAGTTTCTTCCTTACTGCATTCTGTATATATTACTAAATTTGTCAAAGCACAAGCTAGACTAACTTAGGCAACAGTGTCCCTTCACAACCGAGCAAACCAAGTCAGGTTGCAGAATGAAGACAGATTCCCAGAAAAGCCATTCCCAGCCAAGCCAGAAAATACGTAGAGGAGAAGGTCAGAGTAGGGTTGCTTCTTCCTTTGAAGCCTGTTTCGGGTGCTTGCTTGGTCCAGGGCCTGGCACTTGCTTGGTCCAGGGCCTGGTGCTACCGTACAATCAAATCCAAATTTCAGAACTAAACAAGGAAAGCACCACATTTATAGAATGATTTTCCATTTCGATATCCTTTAGCATCATCATGTGACCTCTTACTATAGTTCATGTCTAGTTTTTCCTTCTAGAGGATAAATTTAAGATAAGATGCTCCATAGAGTTAATCTGCTTCCTGTTATCTAGTTTCTATAAATTGTTCCAAATTCACAAACAGCTACTATACAGTATAGTAGATCTTGATAACATGTTAGTCCTGCAACGGAGTACTTTAATGAGAAAATTTGCTAGATAATTGGCAGATTATATTAGCAATAAATATTCACAAACCATGTGCAAGCAATGCCACATTTGACATATGAATACCTATATTATTGAAGTATGGCTACATTTAAGATATTAAGATGTACATTTTTTTTCATATAGAAGTGCAAAGAGAAAATATATTGCAATATTGACAGCTTCTTACCAAATTTCCATCAATTAGAGCGCTCGCACCTCTTAGCTCTTTTGCGTGAGCTGAGATTCCATGACGAAGAATTGTACTCATAGTTAAGGTACTTGATTCCTGACATATAGGAAAGCTGGAAAACAAAACTTCAACTTAGCTAGCTTTGGTTGCTTCAGATATATTAAATAACTATGAAAAGAACCAAAAACATTTGAAAGAAATTACAGACAACCCAATGTTTTGTATCAAAGTAGCTAGATACCCAGCTACCATAATCAACTCTTGATCATGCCACAAAAAAGTTCTAAAGTTCATTGATAAAGCTCCAATCTAGAATCCAACCATATGTTCATTAAATATTGATAGAATCAGTGGATGGTCATACTTTTCAACCCAGAATTCATATTTACAAATTGGTTCTCCATTTTGGAAAATCTTTGCAAACCATAAGAAAGATTTAACTCCCATTCATTTAAAAAGAAATGCTTAAGCTAGTTTATATTGGCATACGTATGGTTCACTGTATGAAAAGCCTTTAAACAGGATAATCACCCATTCTTTGGAAGTGGAACATATACTGTCACGAGAGAGAGAGAGAGAGACGTAAAATTTTCTTAGTTGCGAAAGAACATTGATTGATGACTTACCTGAGTTTAAAGTTGTACATGCACCTAAACTTCTGAAGCGAATTTATGACCCTACCCATTTTGAAATCACACGGTCTTATGCTGTTTGATGTAATATTTGAAGATAACACACAACTTCTACAGGTCCACCTGCACAACTTTAAAATGCTGGTCAGATTATCAAAAGAATGACATGTAAATTCGAATTATGAAGTAGATTAATTATGAATTTGGATATGCCAATACCTCCTAGGACTATAACCTATATGAATAAGAAGCCTTTTATCCCAATCAGTCTCCTGGATGGGTGCAGCTTCTGCAACTTCCTTTACTGTCTGCAAAAGCTATTCCGTTAATAGTAACGTATCAGCATATTATAAACACAATTTAACAAAGAAGTTGTTGCTCTAAAACAAATTCTTTGATAATGGTCAAAAAGTAGAAAAATTATATTAATCTAATAAAGAAACAGAATGGAAAAACCACCTGGCCAAGCGTGATGGTTGAATTCTTGAAAGCGGTATCAATAATCCATACGTAAATACCAACAACCTTTATGCCACCAACTAACATTCTCGAAACCTAAAAAGTTAAAAACCAAAAACCCATATCCGCAAATTGAAAAACCAATTATTTGATATAGAAACTGAAAACCAATCGATCTGATTGAGGAAATAGACCTGGCGGGCGTGTTCGGCGACCCAATCTGAATCGATAACCAAGGTGGAAGAATCGACAGCCTGTAATTTGGATTTGGATCCCTTTTTCTTATCGTCTTTGGAAGTGGCAGCGGTGGGATCGATGAGAGAACTAGCAGGCTCTCCGGCATCGTTTGGTGGCGTAGGGACTAAATCGTAGACGAAGCCGCGGTCTAATATGGAGCTCAGCTTTCCTATAACCAAACCCACCTAATCAAAGGAAACAGAAACAAAAATGTACAAGTTTATTTATTTATTAAGGTAAGCATGTCGATAAATTGGGAATCAAGAAGGAGAAGGGAGACCTGAGAGGTGAGACCAGATTGGCTTAGGCGTTCCTCGGCCAAATTGAGTTGGGTTTCGTCTCCCACCACAGCTTTCACCATTGCTGCTTTTTTTTTTTTTCTTGTTATTGACTCGCTCGGTCACTGAATTCAATATACATATAGATATGAGTTCAGTCGGATCAATCAAATTTTTCCTCCTCTTCTCTTCACCCCTCTTGCTCCTTTCTTTTTGGCGCGTGTTTGCTTTGCTGGACTGTGTTTGCGATGGTTGCGAGGTTCTTATCACTTGTCACTTGTCACTGGTCACTGGTTCTTCAAGCAACTTAATTTCAATATTTTTAGGTTTTTTTTTTAATTAAAAAACATAAATTATGGAGCTTTTTAATTATAAATAATTACATTATTACTACATAAGTTTAGCTTAAAGATAAATACTTTGAATTGAGGGAGTTATTTCAATTGCACTCTAATTTGAGCTCTCTAGGATCTATATCCTAATTTAAAAATGAAATCAAAATTAGGATATATATACACTAAATTTAAAAATGAAATCAAATTAGGATATATAATATATACGTATATATATATATTTATTAATATCGACTACTACGTTATATAGTCATATATTCTGATCAATTCATCCGCCTAAAGAAAATAAAGAGATGTAATCATATTTTTGGTAATATTAAACTTGAACCCACACATCAATCGTTTTCTAATTTTATCCTCCTCTTCCCTCTCGAGCTTATTCAAACAAATTGTTTTTTCTTATTCTGATCAATTCACTAAAAAAATAAAGAGATTAATCATATTTTAATATTAAATTGAACCCACAACATAATCTTCTAATTTTATCCTCCTCTTCCTTCCACTTTCAAACAATTTTTCTAAATGCAAAATTTGCTGGAGAAGTGAGAATCATCGAAACTTTGAAATTAATGTAATTACCGGAAACTTATAAATTTAGAGGATTAAACTTATTTAGATACGGTTTATGAATCCATTCATAAAATAAATCAATGAAAATATGATTTTTTTAAAAAAATATTATTTTCACCTTAGTCTTTTTTTTTTTTTTTCTTGAATGGTCATAAACATCATAGTTTCAACAAAAAAATTATCTTTTATTTATGCATGGAGCCATGTACTGAATTTAAATAAATCTGTATTTAATTTAAATAGTAAATAGTGCTCACCCAAGTGAAATAGCTTTACAAAGAATAAAATTTTTTCAAGTCTATTATATCTCTTCCTCTCTCTTAAATTCCTTCAAAATCATATTTTTTTTCCTATGAAATATTTTATTCTCAATATCAATAATATATCGTGACTAAAAAAAAAAATTGATTTCCAACAGAAAAAGAATTTAGTGGTTAAAAAATTAAAGTAAAAAAATATCAATAAAATAAGTGGAAAGATGGTGACGATTGACGTAATTTTACCCGCTTTCCATTATTTTTAAAATTGAACAGTGATTAGCCTTTAGTGACTTTCAAGTATAAAAAAATGAAAATAAATATATGGTACTTCTTTTTCAGTTTTTCTTGTTATTATGAAAAGACTTTTATAAGTCAAAAATAAATAAAGTTGTTGGGAGGATATTGGGCTAAACAGTAGTTCGTCCGATGGCCCATAAAAGTTTAGGTGGGCCCATAACCAATATTCATCGGGCCAGTAACAAAGCGCGGGCAAGGAAGAAACTGGTTAATTTGGTTAGTAGTAGTATGGAGACTATTGGATAGCAATTCATCTTTTAGTCCACGTAAGAGAAATAAGGAAATAAGCTTTTTTTTTTTTTTTTTTAGGGAAAAAAAAATTTCATAAATGTAATGTGAAACAAGAAATATAATATTTCATTCGGAAAATGATAGAAAAAGAAATCCACCAAAATAATTTCAAACTCGAAATTGACATTTTTTTAGAATATATATTATTTTGAGCCCTAAATCAGGGACAACATCCTGAACTTTTAGCACATCAAAGCGTCTGTGAATTTCGATCTCAATTTTATTTCTTTTTTTTTTTTCTTTTCTTGTATGATTAATTTAGATAACATTGACTTGAAATTATCAACTGAAATGATTTTAGTCCCAAAAAGAAATATAAAATTGTAGGCACGATCCCTTCGTTTTCTAGCTACCGTTGATTATTCAACTGCCTGCATTTACTTCTAGAAGATGCCATATGCTTAAGTTGCAGACTTGTTTGTGCTAATTTTTATAACTTATATTATAGCCAGACACAGCTCAAATCCAGCTGATTACTTCCCAAGTTGTTTCAAACTTCTTTTCTTTTCCAATTATTTTGAGTACAAAAAGTTCTTTAAAAGCAAAGATATTATATTATTGTAAGATAAATACTCAATAATTCCCTACTAGCTCAATAATAAATCATTTCATATTTAATATTATAAGAATTATTATTATTTTTCCAAAAAAAATAGGTTTAAATTTAATAATTAGAGCCTACAACCACAATTATCAAGTTTTAGTGTTATATTCAGAAAAATTAAATTAATGAAAAATAGTTTTCTAAAAAAAATTTGTCCTTTTCACTGAAAGTAACTTTCCTCTTTTTAAAAGTGAAAAATTATTTTTCAGGATTTTAATAAAAAAGATGTGTAAAAAAAAAAAAAAAAAAAAAAAAAAAAAACATTATCAAGTGATTTTCAAAATTTTACTACAAGAAGAATTACAACCAAATAATACCAGGTAACGGGAAATCATTGCACGTGTGATGCAGAAAGAAACAGGACTATCATCGCCCTTTAATGATTTTATTTATCTTATTACTATAATTAACCAAAAACTATGAACTATTTATCAATTAATATTATTTCTTAAATTGATTGTTTCATATTTTAATACTTAGCAAATTTATTATTATATAAAGGTGTTTATTTTTTAATTGGTGTTTGAATTTTTTAAATTTTTTAATTATTTAAACAAAAAAAAAAATTTTAGACTTAAGTGTCAAAATTATTGAAAAATGTGTAAGCGACATTTTTGGTATCACATTATTAGGGAAAGAAATAAAATTAAACTATTACTCGGATATATCCACACCAAACTTAAATACATGTTCAATTTATCTATTTTTTTAATTTTTACTGTATTTCTTTCAATTTTTCTTTTATTTTCAAAAGTGTTATTAAAGAAAATAAGAAAAACAATGAAAAGAAAGGGTTAATTTTAAAAAATTAAATAAAAGTAAAGCCAATCCAAATTAAACTAGGTTCATTTTTAATTTCAGTGAAAAATTTTCTCAGCTAAATATATTTAATTATAATTAAAATTACAATTCAAAATTCAAAATAATTAATTTTGCAACTATTTTCTATTAACACATTAAATAAGAAAAAATTAAAAATTAAAATATTAAAATTTATATTACCTCTTATATTTTTTTTTTTTCCGAAAGGGATATACCTTCTTTTACATAATATTCATATAATGATTAGGGGTGCATTTTTTTTTTAATGAATAAATGATTATTAAATTTAATGGCTACCAAGGGACTCAAATGTAATCAACAGTACAAATAGAAGGTGATATAGACGATTTCCCAAAATTTGTCACAGCCCCACTAAAGTCGATGGGTGCAACATTTTTTTAATTTACAAAATTTTTTTTATGTATTCCATTAGAATTTGTGGGCCAAGTAGCAGAATAATGAACTAGCATTATTTTTTATTATTCGTAAAAAAATATTGATTTCCACGTAGACTTAACAACCTCTTTGATCCACAGGAAAATATTAATCAATCCAATTCATTTCACGCTTCCGCCATTATTATTTTTATTTGCTTTAACTATTCAATCACCCAACTAGGACCCCACTTGTTTGGGGCCCACGACACTCACAATGTAGCCGCAAGCACAGAATTCAAAAAGAAACCGCTAGCTCCATTTCCGCCGTTATTTTCCTCCTACATTGCCCATCACATCCTTTAGACCTGGATATACTTCAATTTTAATTACTAAAAACCCTAACTCTATTTAAATCCTTTAGAAATGGAAAATTTGTCTCAGTTCGTTACTCTTCTTATCCGGAGTCCGGCGACTCTCGCCTCGCTCCCGTGATATCGATGAGGAAGCCAGTCCCTTCCGGGAATGACCAGACCATCCAATTATAAAGGAAATTTCATTGTGCAGTTATGGACGGTAAAAATCCAGCCGAGACACCATGAATAACCAGCTACGCTTACATTCGGCGGCGAGATTACTAAGATCCCTCTGCTGTTTGAAAAAAGAAAAGAAATTGTTAATTTTTCTGTGATTATTGAAACAATGCTTTACTTCTCTCTGCGAGGCGGAACGCTTGATAATATGCCTTTAAAGTATTCAAATTACCTGGTTGAAGATCTTGATGCCTTTTGATTTTCGGTCACCAACGATGAGGATCTCGAGATATGATGCTTGAGTACGACCGGCTATTATCGTGCCTCTGCTAAGGCGGCGAGTAGGTTGAGTTGTTTCTCTTTTCATTTGATCCTTCAAGTTTTTTGGGATCGGATGAAATGAAGTCGGAGAGGCAATTGTGTTTGTGGGAATGCTCTGAATTCATGTACCGTGCAGAATCCGGAAGTTTCCTCTCCTTCCTCCAGGCAGCGGAGCGGCAGGCAAGTGTCGGGTGGAAATCCAGATTTTCTGTTTTGGATTCGATAAGGGCTTTGCAACCGTTCCTTGCTTCGAAATCATTGATATTTGGCACCCACCTGCGCCACCAAACAGTTCCCGGAGATTGTGTTTTTGCAAGGATGTATCAGCTGGATCGGAATGTGGATCGGAGGATCGGCATTGTGATTAGTGATCCGGGTGGTGAAAATCAAACAGATCCTTGAGTTTTCATAGATTGCAAATTCGCTAACGAATGACCAGACAAGGAAAAATTGAGGATGTAAACAATCGGGTTACGCTGTAGAATATTATGCACAGGAAAGTTACTTGATTTAAAATTGCTCCCCACCGACCCAGGTTGCGATGCCCAGTATTAATGCAGGTTCCAGCGGGCTACTTAGCTGAAAGGCACATGACTATTCTGCTGGCTTGCTATCCCTGCCCCTTGGAAACCTGAGGCAGGAAGTTATCACATTCCTACGGGCGGGTTGGTACTTTACCAAAGCTTCATCATTTTAGACCGGGTTTGACGAGGACAAGTGGGCCAGGGATATTATTGGTAGGTGCAAAGGTTGTAGTCCAGGGAAGTTTACAGAGAAGCAACCACTCTACAATCCAGTTCCGCCACCAAG